ATAAATGGATATTTTTTCATCCAAATAAAGACAAGTGAACAAGCTTTAAGATGATACCAATAACTCTACATGCCCAAAAATTGACGAGAGCCTGATTCCACCACGCTACCTCACAAATGTCTGTTGAGTTGGTTCTTTTTCTCTTTGGTTTATTTCAAACTCCACGGGGTTTTTAAAATGTGTTTTGTTGTGAGCGAATGGGTGAGGGAGGGGGGTCCGGCGATGTTCTGGATTGTGTATTGGGGAAAAAAGGGACCGGGGTTCCAGGAAAGAGGGTTATGGAAGGCCCAAAGGCATGAATGTGGGTGGCTGCCGCAAAAGGACGTAAAGAGTACGCATAAATGACATCCATGACATAATTCCACACTCACGCACCCCAAGCAAACAAACAACTGTCAGCTACGTATAAAAAGAAATATGTGAGGCAGCGTGGCAGAATCAGGCTCTCGTCGAAATAATCAAAATGAAGAAACGTGCATTTTTCCGCAGGTTTGTGAATTTTTATCAAATTTTTGTTTTTTGGCTCAACACCTTTCATGCCCATTAAAGAACTCATTTCTGTGTGGATTTATCTGAAAAACGTTGATTAAAGACACACACACAAATGTAAATTTTCTGTTACCATGGACTCTAAAGCTAAGGAAATAACTAATCTTTGGGCGGCCATTTTGAACATTTTCTCACTAATTTTACCTCTGAAAACAAGTGACCCCCACCTCCTTCTTTCGCAAATATCTCGACTTGTATTCAAGATAAATGGACATTTTTTTCATCCAAATAAAGACAAGTGAACAAGCTTTAAGATGATACCAATAACTCTACATGCCCCAATATTGACGAGAGCCGGATTCCACTGCGTTGTGACACATATAAGCTAAACGTCATCAACAGAAAGTCACAGAAACCACAACTTAAAAAGGCCGAACAGAAGAGAAGGAAAAACTTCTCCCATAACCAAAACCAAGAGTACAAAAACGGATGTGTGGTTTACTGACAACTGATAACAGTATTTGCCAGGGGGGAAAAACTTGACCATAAACGAGTGCAAACAATTTCAGCCTGAGGGTAAAAAAAGATTTAATCAGTAACATGTACCAGAAAAAAGATGGTGTTTCTTGAGGTTGAAAAGAAGACCAATTCCAGATCCGGGAGTGAAAACTAAGTAAAGGGTGATCCAAGAAAAACTTGACAACTTTTTTTGGATATATTCGTTTGTTTTTGTGTTTTTGTAAAGTGTTTTACGGCGCTCTCAACTGCATAAGGTCATATGAGCGCGCGGGATACACCTAATATTTTCAGTTGGTAGGAAATTTTGAATTTTGCCCGGGTGGCGGCCGAAGCCTACTCTTATCGATTTTAGACCACCAAGGGATC